AGACATAGACCTATTCAGATTATCTATTTCTCCCAATGTGAGTTTTAATAGTTTGCATCTTTCAAGGAATTGGTTCATTTTATCTAAGTTATCAAATTTGTGGGCGTAGGTTTGTTCATAATATTTCTTTATTAACCTTTTAAAGTCCATGAGATCAGTAGTGGTGACTTCTTTTTCCATTTCTGATATTATTAAAAATAGTAATTTATGTCTTCTCTCCTTTTTCTTAGGTTGGTGAAAGATTTATCCATTGTATTAATTTTGTCAAGAACCAACTTTTCATTAATTTTCTCTATTGTTTTCTTATTTACAATTTCATTGATTTCTGTTCTAATTTGTATTATTTATTTTCTTCTGCTTCTTTTAAAATTTCATTGCTTTGCTTTCCATAGCTTCCTAAAGTGGAAGCTCAGACTGATTTTAGATTTTTCTTCTATGCTAAAATATATATACAATGCTATTAATTTCCCTCTAAGCATGTTTTTGCTGCATCCTACAAATTTTGATGGGTTGTGTTTTCATTTTCATTTAGCTCAAAATATTTTTTAAGTTCTCTTGAGACTTCTTTGACTTATATGTTATTTAGAAGTGTGTGTTGAATCTCAAAATATTTTGGAATTTTCCAACTGTCTTTCTGTTAATGATTTATAGTTTACTTTCATTGTGTTCTGAAAGAATACTTTGTGTGACTTCTATCCTTTTAAATTTGTTAAGATGTGTTTTATGACCCAGACATTTATTTTTTCAAATGGATTTTCCATTATCTTTGCCCAATTAATTTAAATTTCCTTTTCAGATTTCACAAGATTGGCAAAATGTTGATATTTATTAAATCTGGATAATGAAAACATGAACCTACATTATACTATTTTCTGAATTTTTGTGCATATGTGAAAAGTTTCATAATAAAAAACTTTTTTAAACAACCTAAAACTATAGTAAAGTATTTGACATATAGTAAGGATCAACAAGCCATCAACACCATCATCTTCACTATTATCATCATCATCATCATAGTCACCATCATCATCATCATCATCAGAAAAGACAGTTTTGGGACTTTGTATTGCTTCCATTTTCAACTTCTTCCTCTCCAGACACTCCATCTCGTTATTATGTAAACATATTCAAGTTTCCCTTCTCTTCTACTTTACGGCTCAGTCATATTTAACTCTGTTGATCTGTTACTTCTGCTGTCTCTCTCTCCCTCTGGCTTCCTGGTCACCGTTCCTCCTGGTTTCTCTCCAACCTTTCTGGCCTCATTCCGTCTCTATGGACAGTTTTCACTGCCTGTCTCACGTACTTTGGTGCTTCCCAGGGTTCTATGTCAGGTCCGTTTCTCTCTCAGTCTATACACTGTCACTGGATGATCTCACAGTCCCCATCTTGGGGTGAGTACCATCTCCCACCTCCCACCCAATGGCCAAGCTGAAAGCCTGGGTCACCCTCTCTTCCCTGTCTCCTTCACCACCCACATCCAGTCTCTATGTCTGCTAGGTTTGATTGTTTTTGTACCTCCACCCAAATGCATGTGTTGAAACTTAATCTCCAGTGTGTGATAGTAATAAGAGGTGGGGATTTTAGGAGATCATTAAGTTACGAGGGTGGAGCTCTAATGAATGGGATTAAGGCCTTTGTAAAAGAGGCTTCATACAGCATTCAGCCCTTTTTGCCCTTCCACCTTCCGCCATGTTAGCACACAGCATTCAAGGTGCCATCTTGGAAGCAGAGAGCAACCCTCCCAGACACTGAATCTGCTGGTGCCTTGATCTTTTACTTTCCAACCTCCAGAAGTGTGAGAAAATAAATTTCTCTTCTTTATCAATTACCCAATCTGTGGTATTTTGTTATAGCAGCACAAACCGACTAAGACGATGTCAGATGGCTATGACTTTCTTGCTGCTTTTATTGCATCCCCTTCTTTCCAGTGCCCCACATCCTAATTTAGGCCGTGATCTTCTCTTCTCTGAACCCCTGCATCAGTCTCCTAATTGGTCTTCTTGCATTGAGTCTTTGTCCCTCCAATCTTTTCTCCACAGGAATAACCTTTCCAAAACCCAAATCTGCATGTCCTTTGCCTGCTTAAACCCCACGGGATGAGTTTTAATCCTTAGCTACTTCATGCTATTTACTTCCTTTCCTCACCATCCTCTCTCTGCTCTCCTCCACCACCAACAACCACCTGTTCCTTGAAACGTATGTATAGTCTCCTAGAATGTGCCTCTGCATGTGTTGCTCCCTCTGCTGGAATCACTGTCCCTCCCCTTGTCAGGACTCAGGTGAGAGAGCCTGTCTCTGGGCGGCTTTCCCAGCCTACCTACCTCGCGCTCTCCCTCCCGCCATTCTTGCTCACTCCAGCTTGCATCACTCCACGGTGAAGTCTAGTGTCTGTCTCCCCTGTGACACTGAACGCTGCTAAGGTCCCAGGCTAGTGCCCCATGCACCACTGCATCCCACTGCCTGGTGCAGGCCTGGCACATAGGAGGTGCTCAGAAAATGTTGGCCAAATAAACAAATGGATGCCTGAAGGTCAGGAACAGAGAGGCAGAAGAAGCAGAATTTGAGAAAATGATTAGTCATGTGGTGGAGTTCCTGGGCAGCACAGTTTCTGTTTTGAACACTTCGAAATACTGATATATTAAATAAATATATGATTTATATAGAGTGATATGTCAAATAAACATATAGGTTTAAACTAAATTAAGTATTTTCTTTTTTTTTTTTTTTTTTTTTTATTCATACAATGTTTAGTTCAAAGTATGTTTAAGTGAGTGCCGTGGCGTCAGCCTAGCTCACAGCAACCTCAAACTCCTGGGCTCAAGCGATCCTCCTGCCTCAGCCTCCCGAGTAGCTGGGACTACAGGCATGCGCCACCATGCCCGGCTAATTTTTTTTATATATATATCAGTTGGCCAATTAATTTCTTTCTATTTATAGTAGAGACGGGGTCTCGCTCTTGCTCAGGCTGGTTTTGAACTCCTGACCTTGAGCAATCCACCTGCCTCGGCCTCCCAAGAGCTAGGATTACAGGCATGAGCCACAGCGCCCGGCCTAAGTATTTTCTTATACTTGATTTTAGGGTAAACAAGTGGCGGTAGGGAATCAAAGAATTACAAAAATTATGAGAAAAAAACATTTGGTAAATGTTTTATGATACACAATATATTTAATAAAAAATCTTAATGCAAACCATATATCAGATAGTGTATATATTGGCCAAAAATGAAGGCACCACAGTCAGATCTGGGTTTGAATTCCAGCTTCCCACTTACTACTCATGTGACCTTGGACACATTTCCTTACCTCTCTGTTCCTCGTTTTCTTATTGTTAAATAGGTACAGTAATGTTTATACCTCAGAGGGTTATTATGAAAATTGCATGAGTCAATATTTGTAAAGAGTTTGGAATAGTGCCTGGGCCTGGTGAGCATTCCAGAAATGTTAATTAACCAATAATAATAGTTAACTAATGACTCATAAATGTATCTAATTTATATTTGTAAATAATATATATTTGTAAATATATTATTGATCAATACAGTAACAGAAAAAAAGACTGGAGGGAAATATACCTAAATATGTGAAGGTGAAATCATGGATGACTTTCTTCATTTAATTTTTCTCATGAAAAAATACATTACTTTTATCATCAGAAATAAATAATATTTTTTAAATGGAGGTAATTCAACCTGCAAATGCAGAAAAGACTTCTGCTGTAGACCACCTTGGTCCAGGGTTCTCCATGGCCTAGTTTAGGAGCCACTGCCCTGTCACATGTCACACATACACTCAACAGCACTTTCTTTGGGGCTGCTCTAACCTTCTGTATTCAGCCTTGCACCTCAGGCAGTCCTAGGCCTCCAAGGGCTGGCCGTTTGGGCAGGCCCAGGTTCCCATGTGAGCTGTCCATGCTTGTTAAGGGGGTAAGAAATCTGAGCTTTCTCTCCTGGGCAGCCTGTGGGCTTTGCTGGAGGTGGGGGTAACTCCTTTGTGAGCTCAGAGAGAGCTGTCACCTCCTGCAGCCTTCCTGGAAGGTCTTCTTCCTCTGGGACTCTTGTGCCTCCACATCACTTCTCTAGCAGTTGGTCTTCAGTCCTGACAGCAGGGCTCTCTGCTCAAGCAGACTGGGGCCATTAGTTTTGTGGGTACATGATGTTCTGTGCACCTGGCATTTTCTACCTTCCAGTGTCCCTGAAGTCCTCACATGACTTGCCTAATCAATCCAAAGCTCTCTTTCCAATTTTTAGATTTTCTGCAAGTCCTTCCCACACCCTTCTTCTTGATTCCCATTGGCTTAGGGGCACTCAACCTTCCAAGGCTGGCCAACCCTCTCGCAGAAGTCCCTCAACCATCAGCCAATCTGTGTGCAGCAAGGTTCATGGTTTAAAATAAATAAACATGTAGATAGATATACATGACATAGATATAGATCTTACTTATAGCTCTTATTTTTTGTCATTCTAAAAAGTCCTCAACCTAACTGACTAGAAGACTTTACATACATTGACATTTCTTCCTGGATTTGTAACTTCCCTCCCCAAATTGTTCAAGCGCTTAAGTGGCTGAGCAGGAAAGGGCCCCTGGTTTCAGGGCTAATAGAACTCAGCTTTCGACACTGACACTTCCCCTTCTGGCCCCTGCGCCTCCCCTGAGCTGCAAAGTCTCAGTGGAACAAGTGCCTCTCCCTGCTTCACCACCCCGCTTTGCCTAAACAGCGTCTCCTTGCTGACTCTTTTTTTTCTTGTTCTTGTTCTTTTTTCTTAGGACAGAGTCTTGCTCTGTCACCCTGGCTAGAGGGCAGTGGCCTGATCATAGCTCACTCCAACCTCAAACTTCTGAGCTCAAGGGATCTTCCTGCCTCAGCCTCCCAAGTAGCTGGAACTATAGATGCGCTCCACCACACCTGGGTAATTTTTCTATTTTTTGTAGAGACAGGGTCTCACTCTTGCTCAGGCTGGTCTCGAACTCCTGAGCTCAAGCAATCCTCCCGCCTAGGCCTCCCAGAGCACTAGGATTACAGGCGTGAGCCACCGCACTCGGCCCCTCCCTGGCTCTTGAAGTGTCTCACTCTTCTCTGCTCCTCCATGGCTGTCCCTCCTCCTGCTTCTTTTCTCCCCTAAACCCTCTCCCTGGGCTTCCTCAACAGCTGCCCTGCGGGCGGGAGGAGACCTCTGCCCCAGCGGGTTCCTTTTTCTTCCAGGGATACGTCCACACAGACTTCCCGCGCTCTCGCTGTTTGTCATCGTTGTTGTTTTTGTTGTTTTACTTTTTAATATAAAACCAACACATACTCATCAGGAAAGAGCGGGTAGGGCAAGCCCTGGCTGAGGAATTAAGGACACGTGGGTCGCTTCCACACCCTTTCTTTGTGACGCATTTCTCTGTGAGACTCCAGCAGAGCCCTGCCAGTCTTCCCTGTCATGGCGTCGGCCCCGCCAGCACACCCTCGTACTCACTGGCTGCTGGGAAGGGAGCTACGTCTCCTCAGGTCTTGACCATCTCCTTACACATATTTCATTTTTCCTTTTATTCTGACAGAAACGCGCTCATTCTCCGCATGTCTCTGCCCAATTCCCTGGCGTTGGAGAAATCCGTGGGGGGCGGGCTCGGAGATGGCTTCGAGACGCAGCTGTGCGTTTCCGCCCTGCGTCCTGTCGGCGCTACCGCCCCGCTTCCCGCTTTGCGTGACTTGGTTTCGGAAGGTCAGCGTGTCGGCTGTGCGAGGTCTGCGCTCCTAGTGCCTGATGCTACATATTTAGTTAAATAGGTCCTTTCTGGTGTCTTTTAATCTTGATTCTTTTCCCACAGTTGCGACTAAAATTGTCCCGTGGCGCCTGCACTAGTTTCCTGTGGCCGCTGTGGCCAATGACCACAAATGCTGCAGCTTGAAACAACAGAAATTAATTCTTTCCCAATTCAGGAGACAGAAAGTCTGACATCAAGGTGTCAGCACGGTGGCACTTCCTCTAAAGGCCTGGAGGGGACAAACCTTCTGTCAACTAAAGAAAAAAAATCAGGCTTTTAAGGAATTGCGGTTAGTTTTCAGTCAGAGTCTTACTGGGAATCGCGACTAGGAGAGTCTTGCAGTTTCTGCTAGATGCTGCAAAGCAGCGTTTCAGCCCGTGTTTCGGGTACAGGCGGTGGCAGCTCTGCACGTGTTCCTGAGTTACACCAAACGTGCTCAGAAGTTACGTTCGTGCAAAATCGCATCCAAGTTTGGGTGTGAGGGTACATCTGGTTAGAGATTACAGAGGCATAATCATTAATCCTATCAGATGTTATTTTACGTATAGGAAGAGTCAAAGGCCAAGCTCATTGAGTTTACCTTTTCTAAAAATGCTGTGATTCAGGCAAGAGAAGTGGGAACTGGTGCTCTCTCCTGCTTACCATTTCGGGGCATTGCTTTGGGGGGCTTTGCTGGGTCACTGAGGCAGGGCTTTGTGAAATTCTGCTGACACTTGCTGCTTAATTTCACACTTCCTCATTTCTCCAGCTTCCAGAGTCTCCAGGAGTTCCCTGGCTTATGCCTGCATAACTCAGTTCTGTCTCCATCTTTGTTCACAGGACCTTCTCCTCTTCTCCCAGGTCTCTTCTCTGTGTCTCTTATAAGGACATTTGTCATTGGATTTAGGGTCCCCCCAGATAATTCAGGATGATTTCGCCTTGAGATTGCATCTGCGAAGACTCTTTTTCCAAATAAGGCCACATTCATAGGTTCCAGGGTTAAGACGTAGACATAGCTTTTTGGGAGCCACCATTCAACCCACCGTAGCACCACTCTTCTCAGGTCTAGGGATTGAGTGTTTTCCCTTTACACTTTTCAGGTGGGAGCTCTTGTTCTCCCATCCAGAATAGTCCCTTCCCCTTAGATCTTTTGTCATGTAGCGGTTAGAATCACGAGAAAATGGTTCCTTTGTTCTGCTGATCCATCAGAGAATCCCAAACCAGTCCTGTCACATATATATTTTCTTCATCAAACTGAATGTTGTTGCTTATGCAAACCTATGCATTCTTTACCCCAAGGACCAAAGGTTACATCTCAAGGAGGAAGGAATTATTTTTTGAGTGCCTAGAATATAGTAAGTGCTGTTATCTTATTTAACTCTTACAACAACCCTGAGTCTTACAATCCATTTTCTCTTCTTTAGAGAATGGAAAACTGAGGCTCAGGGAGGTTAAGTAACTGTTAAAACACACACAGTAAATAGCAGGACCCAGCTCTGGCAACCTCACAGCCTTATGGTCCTGCCTCTACCAAACTGCCTTTGGGGTTTTTCCAGATGAGGTGAGTGCAGCACAGAGACAATGAATAATGACAACAACAGGACCAGAAGCTTGGTCTCCATTCCCAGTTCTTTGTTCTTCCCACCAAACTGTATTTGCCACTCAGAACAGAGGTGTTATTTGAGCTGACAGAAAGACACACACCCTGACTGAGCTCAGAAAGAACCTGAACTTTGGAGTCAGAGCTTGAGCCTATTCCAGTTCCACTGCCTGGTAGGAAATGCTTCTGGACCAGTCACTGGGCAGCTCTGACACGCAGCTTCCCCGTCTGTAAAATGGAGTCGTAATGGCACCCATCTCTCTGCGTCACCATTAGGATTGGGGAATACACGCTAAAGTGCACAGTTTGTAGAATGCATTCAACAAATGGTAACTATGACAACTATTTCTATTTCTGGGCTGGGCGTGGTGGCTCACGCTTATCATCCTAGCACTCTGGGAGGCCGAGGCAGGTGAATTGTTTGAGCTCAGGAGTTCAAGACCAGGCTGAGCAAAAGTGAGACCTCGTCTCTACTGAAAAAAAAAAAAATAGAAAGAAATTAGCTGGACAATTAAAAATATATAGAAAAAAATTAGCCGAGCATAGTGGCGCATGCCTGTAGTCCCAGCTACTCAGGAGGCTGAGACAGGAGGATCACTTGAGCCCAGGAGTTTGAGGTTGCTGTGAGCTAGGCTGATGCCACGGCACTCTAGCCTAGGCAAGAGAGTGAGAGTCTGTCTCAAAAAAAAACAAAACAATAAAAATCAAATAGATAAACAACAACAAGAAAAACAAATAAATATATTTCTATCCAATGGCTCTTCAAAATTAAAGGGATTTTTAATGATAAAAGAAAAAGCAATTCATGTGTGTGACAAAGAGTGTAAAGCAACCTCTCCCTGCCCCAGAAGATTCCAGTCCTAGTCCTTGAAAATAGCCATTGCTACCAGGACCTTCTGTATGGTTCCACAAATTTTCTATGCATTTGGAAGTATGTTATCCATTTGTTATACACATAGGATCATATAAATTCACACTTACTTTTAGAACTAAGTAATTGTCCCGGCTGGAAGCAGACACAGATGGAGCTTAGTGTGCAGAATGCTCACCAGGGAGTGCTCTCAGGAGTGACATCTCTGGAAGGAGGGGTGGAGGGAGAAGTCAAAGCTGCGACAGCCTGGGAGTTAAATGTACCATCAGAATTTGTCCCATGTCATGTGTTCCTAAAGGCCTAGGCCTTTCTGCCTGCACTGATATCAGGGGGCCAACCTGTGAGGTTGACAGCTGAAGGTTACCTGCTCTCCCAGCACCCTGCTGCCCTGGCTGACCTGCCTACCTGCAGGAAGACCCAACCCCTGTAGATGCGGTGAGTCTGGCTGCACTGGGCAGTGTGACTTTCAAACTAGTTTTATGTGAGTTTTTACTGCCTGGGGAAGAGTCACCATTACCTCATCTTCCCCTTTTGACAACAGAACTTCTGGTTTCTCTTTGGCTGAGATGTATGGTAAAGGGCTGTGGGAGCGGAAGGGATTAAGTCTCTGCATGTTTCTCTGCCAAATATTGAAAACAGAAAGTGGCTGAGGATTCCCATCCTGTGAAAGACAAGCACAAACGGTCATTCACACCATGACAATGGGCTCTTTCTGTCCACATCCTTTTTAGTATTTTTCTTCATTCAGCACTTGCTGAATCAAATACCAAGGTGGGAATTTGGAGCCATTGCCTCATGGTCTGAAAGGGACAGATGCCACTGCCATGTCCAGGATAAAGTCCCCAAAGGGGGCTGCTGTGTAAGTCAGCTTACTCCATAGGTGGCCCCACACCTCCCACACCCTTTCCTTCTTCCTCCTCCCTCAAGCATAGGCTGGTGCATGGAAAAGCCGAGATTGGGAGGAGCTGGGCCAGGCTCTGTCCTAGGGATAATGACTTTCTTGAGAACAGGAACTAGGCCTTGATCAATATTATGGGTGGGAACGTAAAATGGCACAACCATTTTTAAAAACAGTTTGGCAAGTTTCTTATAAAGTTAAATAAACACCAAATGAGCCGGCCTCTCCACTCCTAGATAAATGCAAATATATATTCATGCAGTGACTTGTACTTGAGTGTTCATAGCAGCTTTATTCATAATAGCTCAAGCTGGAACCGACCCAAATGTCCATCAGATAAAAAAGAAAGTGTGATATATCCTTACAATGGAATACTAATCAGCAATAAAAAGAGATGAATTATTGATATACACAAAATATGGGTGAATCTCAAAAACAAACTGAAGAAAAGAAGACAGACACAAAAGTATACACTGTATGATTCCATTTATATGAAACTCTAAGAAAATCAGTTTAACCTGTAGTGACAGAAAGCAGATCCAAAGTTACCTGGGGCTAAAGGCAATTGACTATAAAAGGGCATTAAGGGAATGATAAAAACATTCTATATCTTGACTGTGGTGGTGACTATATGGTACATAAATTTGTCAAAATCCATCAAAGTGTATATTTTAAATGAATGGATTTCATTGTATGCAAATGATTCCTCAAAAAAGTTGGTTAGAAATAGAATACATAAGCAAGAATATTAAATAAAAATGTGAAAAGTAAACAAAAAGTTAAGACTCATTCTGGAAACAAAACAATGAATAGAAAATAATAATAGAAAACTTCCTTAAGCTGATAAAGATTATCCATCAGAAACCAAGAGCAAACATCATATGGAATGGTGAAACAGCATTTCAATTACAAGTGCCTGCTAACATCTATGACCCAACATTGTACTGAAGGATCATTCTAGAGTCCCCATTGGTTCTCAACAAGGAAGGTACATACACCCTAAGAGATCTATACATACATCCTAGGAAATGTAGTAGAAGAATATGGGGGCATATTTGGTTGTCATAATGATCGGGGGTGTGACAATGGCATTCACTGGGTAAGACCCAAAGATGCTAGATATTTGCAATCCAAGGCGCAGCTCCATAAATCAAGGAATTGTCCCACGTTCCACACAACTCTCTAATGTCTTCCTCTGTTTTACGTATAAATTCAAGGATTAAATCCTTTGAAAATATTTTACACACACGTAAATTTTCTAGGAATGAAACTATCACATAATTTGAGGGACTATTGTACTTTGCTTTTTCCAAACTTTACCAAGAGCTGTTGACCATTTCAAAAAATCTTGTTACCTACAGCACCACTGTAGATACTTGAGTAGCCTATATGACT